TAATTATTAATTTAAAATTTTTTTGATAATTATTAAAATCTTAATTTTTAAATTACGGTTTTTTGATTGGTCCTAAAAAAAAATAACAAGACAATTTTTTTGTAAAATTAAATTTTTAACAATTTTTAATCAAAAAATTTTTTTTTCAACCAATATTTTTGCCGCAATATTAATAATTAATTATTATTTTAAAATTAAAGCATAAATTCTTGCCCTTCAATAAAAATCCATTTTTTTTTTTTTACATATCAGTAACGAGTTTTACTTTTACGTGCTATATAAATTTATCAAATAAACGAATCAAAGAGTTGTTAATTATTCAATTAATCAATTAATAATCGAATAAATTATTGCTGCACTGATTGTTTATTATTTAAGACAAAGGTTTACACATCAACGATAAATGACTAGAATTAACTTTTAGTTAATTATTTAATTGTCAACTTTCATTTTCATCTTTACTTTTTTTACCATTAATAGTTAGTTAATTATCAATAAATAAATTCCAAAATTTGTTGGCAGTTCTCGATATTGTTTTTTTCAATTAAATTATTTTTTATTAAAAAAAAAAAAGTCCGTAACTGTTGATAAAATTGTTAAGTGCTAATTTATCATTAAAAATTTAATATATCAACATACATTTAGTTTTTATAATCATTTTTTTTTTATTATAAACCTATTACTTGTCTTAATTTATTAGTTTTTTATAATCTTATACATTTGTTATATAATTCGCTATTTACAAAATGTTATCGCCGACCCCCTTTTAATTAGCCGTTATTCACTTGAGCGGGCGCCATCTGGGAGGAATTTAAAGAATGGTGGAACTGGTTAACCAATAGGATGCTCGGAAAGGTTTTATTAACCAATCAGGAGTTGGAACTGGAACCTAACCAAGTTTAAGTTAGCAGTTTGTTTCAGTTTTGATATTACGGTGAAAGTTTTGGTCGTAGAAAAAAATTTTTGAAACAAAAATTGTTCAAAATTGAATTTTATAAAAAAATTGTCTTATTGTTTTTATCTAGGACCAATCAGGAAGCCGTAATTTCAAAGTTAAGGTTTTAATAATTATCAAAAAAATTTGAATCTTAATTTTGATATTACGACAAAAATATTGATCGTAAAAAAAATTTTTGAAACAAAAGTTGTTTAAAATTTAATTTTGAACAAAAGTTGTCTCAATTTTTTCTTAGGACCATTTATAAGCCCATAATTTCAAAATTAAAATTACAATAATTATCAAAAAAATTTGAATCAATAATTTTGATATTAAGGTGAAAATATTGGTCGTAAAAAAATTTTTTAACAAAATTTGTTCAAAATTGAATTTTTTAAAAAAATTGTTGAATGAATTTTTTGGAGGACCAATTAGAAAGCTGTAATTTTAAAATTAAGCTTTTAATAATTATCAAAAAAATTTGAATCATTAATTATGATCTTAATTTTGAAATTACAATGAAAATATTGATCATAAAAAAATCATAAGAGAAATTATTTTTAGAAAATTAAATTTTTACAACTTTTATTCCAAAATTTTTTCGCCGTAATATCAAATATTAATTAATTATTCAAAGGCAAAAATCTCAGCTTTAATAATTACATATAAATTTATAAAAATTCTAATGATATTAAACCAATAAGTTCCAGACACTCGTTAAATTTTCCCCAGACTAGGAATTGGAATGGAAAAAAAAAATTACAATTAATTACAGGATTAAATAAACTAAAAAGATTAAAAATTTTCAAATTTAATGTCTAGTGTTTTTAAATAATAATAAATTTAGTTGTTACACGGTTTATATTTGTTGTAAATAAACAATATGACACTTTCTCAATCTTGCATACAATCTCTCAGTAATATAAACCAAATAACATTGTATTTTATTTTATTTATTTCAATAATCATAAATTATAAACAATAACAGCTGTTGATCGTCAGTTCAGTCTTGTTGTAAGACGGCATAAATATAAGACTGATTAGCGTATTTTTTTAGGCCACGCACTCGGTGAAAAAAAATAGTACACACTGGATTAACAAGACATTAGGCTTATAATACTTAGGCTTACAATACTGTAATGGACAACGTTTTACAATAACGTATACGCTGTGTCTACTTTTATCAAAAAATAATATAAAGAAGAAATAATGGACCGGAGGACGGGGGACGGGAAACATACAATATTTACAAGTACTCTTTAATTTTTATCGTCGTAATTAACTAAAAAATTATTTTGTCAAAATAAATATTCAAAATCAAGCGACAATAATTAAAGTAAAAATTTCTAATCTTCTTTAAGTGTCTTAATTGTTGTTGTTAATTATAATTATTCATTTTTTTGATATTACAATTGAGTAGAGTACAAAGGGAAAACATGCCTCTTTATAATTAACTATTTCATTTAAACTTATGACGGTTATCTGTTACAATTTTTTCTCTAGCATTATTATAAATACCCAATCGGATATTCCCTGCGTGGCATTACAGTTAATAATTAATAATTAATAATAATAATAATAATAATAATATATATACTAATAAATATAATACAAACTTATTATATAAAATTATTACAAACACTACTATATTACATATTAGTTTCTTCGTCATTTTATAACGACCCGCAGTTTATTTTTTTTCATGGGTGTGCGTGTGTATGTATGTATGTGTATATATATTATATGTATACGTGTATGTGTTTAATTATTCTTTAGGCATTCTTACACAGTTCGATTTCACAGCCGTAATTATTACAAGTTAAATAATAGTCCGAAAAATTCACAATTAAATCTATTTTAGCTGTTTAATACGGGTTTTTAAACTCCGACAAGATGGCCGTCGGATGATTCAAAATGGCCGACTTTTTTCGACTCAAAATTTGTTTATTTAATTTCTTGAAACTTCTGATTGATAATTATTTTAAATAATTTTTTTTAGGCTCTTTAAGATGGTACAGTTTTAATTTATGATGATAAGTATTTATGCTGCATTCAAAAATGCTCTATCTCTAGATACATAATTTGTATCTTGTGAACTATCGACATTTTTAAAGATATAAGCTCATCCCGACATTATACTCATCGAGACCTTTCATTTGAATACCCACATCAATTTTTCATATATTTTATATATTTATATATATTACATATATGAATATATGAAAAATATATCAAAAATGCATCTGGGTACTCAAATGAAAGCTCTTAATAAGTATAACATTAGGATGAGCTTATATCTTTAAAAATGTCAATAGTTAAAAAATTACAATGCAATTTAATAATTATCTTGTGAAATATTGACATTTTTAAGGATATAACCTCATCCCAACATAATGCCCATCGAGACCTTTCATTTGAGTACCCACATCAATTTTTCATATATTTTTATATATTATATATATATGTATATATGAAAAATATATCAAAAATGCATGTTGGTACTCAAATGAAAGCTCTTAATGAATGTAACACCAGGATGAACTTATATCTTTAAAAATGTCAATAGTTAAAAAAATACAGTGCAATTAAACAAACGTCATTATTTAAGACAGTTTATAATAATTATTTAAATTGTAACAAGTTTAAGGCGCGTACAAAATTTGATTTTGTAGAGTGGGAACTGTCTAAGAACACTCTAAAATATTCCCATGTAAATAGCGGTTAATTCGTTAATTTATTAATTATTCGATATTTTTTTTCTTCGTAAATATTGCGTAATAAACACATGCATCATTATTATTTATATAATATATAATGATTTTATTATTTACACGGAGGTTATTTCTTTTAATTTATCATTTATCATTATTAACTTATTACTTTATATAATTAAATATAAATTGACATTCATACTGTCGTTATCGCATGATAAATAAACAAACATATATATTAAATTCAATCGATTGATTGTTTAATTTTAATTATCCATAATTTTAATATTAATCGACGAAAAAATAAATCAATATTTACCAAAAATATTAAATAATTTAGCGGTATTTTTTTTTTTTTATTTCTTTTTAGTCTCATCTCATAATTTACTAAAATAATATTAATAGTCAATTAATATTTAATTTATTTACAAATATGATAATGTGCGCGACCAGCGCCGGCACTAATAATTTTCCACGATTACGACGACGAGGACCGCAGATCACCATGTACCTTAATCATTATTGAATTACAAGTAATTCAACAAAAATATATTGTTATTTTTTAACAATTATTTTTTTTTTATTAAACTGCTGTCCGTAATTCGAGATAGCCCGTTATTTTATTACACGTTGTTCAAATATCTATTCATATATATATATATATATTTTTAATTATTTTCATATTCAAATATATATCTTCATTAATTAGCGTAGTGATAAGGAGAATCAGTACGACTATTTTTTGAACTTTAATAATAGTGATAATAGTCGATGTAACTACATAGTGCCTAGTGATAATATTTAATTAATAATAATATTAATATAATAATTAATAATTATAATAATAATAATAATAATAATTATAATATGGCTTGAATTAATAATTGTTCCACGTCCTTTAAATATTTTTTTTTTTTTTTAAATAAAAAATTCACTCGCTCTCTTTCCTTTCACTCGCTCGTTCTTATTTTCTCTTCAATTTTTTAACCGCTGACAAGAATAGATGAGGCAAAAAAAATTAGTGTCATAATTTACCCATCTAAAAATAATTTGTTTGATATTATTTTTTTTTTTTTTTAATTAAAAAATTATTTTTACGTCTAGGGTAAAAAATTGTCGAGCATTGAATAGATCAGGCCTCGTAATTAAATTGTTGTAACAATAATAGTTAGTGAACATGCAGACCGGGTTGGAGGTTGATGAACGAATCCATTCGGTCGGTGGGTCTTTCACTCATCCTATCCGTCGATTCCAAGGCAACGAAGGTCGAAGGATCGTGGAAATGAATTAAACGTAGGATAATCACAGAAGAAGGGGAGTCTCGATGGGCGCCGAGGTCTACTGCAGTCGGTTCACCGCATCAGAGTGGGTAGTAGTGTGCTGACCAGAAGTGCTACCGTTGAGAGGTAAATCAATCGCTGAAAACTCTCCCGTGGTCGACTGAGTGCTGAGCTTGCACCGGTGTAAGTTAGCTCTTCATTTTTTACCACCTCGTTCGGATGATCCGAGTACTCCTCTGTAATTCATTTTTAATTATTAGTATTATTTTTTTTTTTTTTTAAATTACGGTACTTAGCAGCGTAATTATAATTAGGATTTATTTTAATAGATACTTAATTTGTGATAATAAAATTATTTTATGAAAATTAGTTAGCCAATATTTAAAATTTTTTTTTTATTAGAAGAATTATTAAAAAAAATTTCATTTGTAAAAAACTATAAGTGCAATTTTTTAAAAATATTTTTTAGTTAAATTAATAAATAAAAAAGCCGGAAAAAATTTTTATTAATTAAATTAAGGGTAAAAAAATATTTATAAAAAATTGCACGTGTAATTTTATAAATTTTCTAGGTATGAAATTAAAAAAAAAAAAAAAATAATTTTTCAATAAAATAATTTTCAGATGGCTAATTTAATTTTCATGATTAATTTTCGGTTTTAGGAGCACAAGTGGAAACTATTTATACAGACTAAGTATGCCGTATTATATACCAGGGTATATTATATGAGATATTAATATATGTGTATACACAAGAAAGCCAATGGCGTATTATTTAAACAGATGGTTTTTGTGGGGAGCCAAAAAAACCGATAAAATATTTATTTTTGGTAAGAAAATCGACGGGAGTCAGAAATTTAAAAAATATCATGTCAAGAATTATATTCATAATTTTAGTATTTATATTTAAAAAAATTTATGGAATTTTTTCATTGTTACTGATTTATTTTTAATTTTTAAATTTATGAAATTTTTAATGAAAATAAAGTTAGCTGACATTTCAAAATTTTTTATTGAAAAAATTTAAATTAAATAATTAAAAAAAAAATTTCACATGTACAAAACTTGAAAAACTATAAGTGCAATTTTTTAGAAATATCTTTTTAGTTGTAATTTAATTAAAAAAAAAAAATCAAAAATTTTTTTTAAATTATTTAATTACAATAAAAAAATTTTCAATAATTAAAAAAATTAGTGTCATTTTAAAAACCTTTTGTAATAATTTTTTCAATAAAAAAATTATATCAATTTAAAATTAAAGTTTGTGAAACAACAAAATTATCAAAGAAGAAATAAATGTAATTTTAATAATGAGTATTCGAGCTCGGGTAGTGGTTACGAATTAGTAGTAAACGAAAAGTTTAAAAGGAGGTTGAAATTGCAGAATCTTTAATTGGCATAGTAAAACGCAAAGTACACGCGACAGGTGTGAACAGGTGCCGCTGTCTTGTAAAAAGTTGGTGCGTAAACGCATTAATCGCGATAATCGCTGTAGTTGGTTCTTGCAGGTACATATATATATATAGATATAGATATATATGAATTAAGAATAAGAAAAAGAGAAAGGAGAGGGAATAAGGCAGAGGTGTGCGATTTTAATCGTCTTGGAAAAAAGAGATAGACGTAGGAAAAGAGAAGAAAGCAAGGGAACGAAGGTGAAAAGGGTCGTGACGGGTTCTCTATATAATGAGTAGTGAAGAGAAGTACTGAAGAAAAAAAATAATAATAATAATGATAATAATAAAGTAAAATGCTTTTATAAGGTTGCGAAGAGAAAGAAGAGTAGGAGGAAATAAATAAAGAGAGTAGGGGCAGGATAATGCCGCAAGCGGGCAGGTGCGGTATTCAAGAATGACTGGATTCTCTCTTTCTCTCGCTCTCTTTCTGGTTCCTATAATAGTAAGTATGGTATATAGGTGTGTGTTACATATGTGAAGAATATAGATGTAGATATATGTATAATATAAAATAAATGGATTATATATACGTACTGTTTTTCTTCTTCTGGGTGATGGAGGTCTTGGGCGGTGACGCTAGGGATGGCGGTCCATTGTGAATCGGCGGCTGCGGCTGATGGGGATGTGACGGGTAGATTGCTGGCGGGGGTACGTGAGGTAGAGTGGGCGCCGCCGCGGCTGTTCCCGGCTGATGATGATAGATGTTGCCTCCTGGGAAGAATCGATCTCCGCCCTTCAAGACGCTCGGGGGTGGCGATGGTGGCATTCCGACACCACCGATGTTACCGTTGTTGTTGTTGTTGTTGTTGTTATTGTTGTTGAGGTTTATGTTGTTGCTGTTGCTGTTGCTGTTGACTCCTAAAATTCCACCGCTTGTTGAGCTGCTAGATACAGTACTGCTACCGCTACTGCTCCCCGTAACTGACACTAATTACCATCAATATAAATATATGTTAATATCATTCTTATCATCGGTCAGGAAATAAAAATAATATTACACATATCTATACAACAGCTGTTAGCTCTACGTGTCTAGTCTACGTCTATCATCTTTTTTAGGTTGCAAAATATTTTTTTTAACTTTCTGAATTTTTTATTTAAATTAGAATTAAAAAAAAAATAAGAATTTAATGTATTGTGATAGTCACTATGTATCTCTAGATACATAATTAAGAAAAGACCTTGTATCTTGTAAACTATTGACATTTTTAAAGATATAAGCTCATCCTGATGTTACACTCATCAAGATCTTTTATTTGAGTACCCACATCAATTTTTCATATATTTATATATATTATATATATGTATATATGAAAAATATATGAAAATGCATGTGGGTACTCAAATGAAAGCTCTTCATGAGTGTAACATTGGGATGGGCTTATATCTTTGAAAATGTCAATATTTAAGAAAGTACAGTGCAATTTAAAGAAATTACTTTGTATCTCGTGAACTATTGATATTTTTAAAGATATAAGCTCATCCTGATGTTACACTCATCAAGATCTTTTATTTAAGTACCCACATCAATTTTTCATATATTTATATATATTATATATATGTATATATAAAAAATATATCAAAAATGCGAGTGGGTATTCAAATGAAAGCTCTTGATGAGTGTAACATCGGGATGAGCTTATATCTTTAAAAATGTTAATATTTAAGAAAGTTCATTGCTAGTGAATTTAATGATTTTAAAAATTGAATCATTTTATTTTTTATAAAATTAATTTAATTGATGCTATTTAAAAAAATTTATTATTAAACAAATTTAATTAAGTTCATTGAAATTAGTTATTGGAAAAAGTTTATCGAAAAAATAATATGAAAAGAACATGTAATTAATAAATTAAAAATAAAATATTTTGCAACCCTGTGATGATCTATGATCTATGATCTACGCTCTATGATCTACGATTTACGGTTGTAATAAAAAAATGATACATAATTGTAGGAGTACTTACGGTTGTTGTTGTTGCGGGTTGACGATGACCCGTCGTTCGCACAGCACACCTTGAAGACTACCTTCATGTTGTGTGTGGAGCACCGTCCGCCGATGCGCCTGTGGAGGTCGTCCTTTGACGACGTGCTGATAAAGTAGTAGTCGTGCCCGGGGAGAAACTCCAGCCCGCCGGGCTGCGGTGTAAACGGCCTGAACGTTATGGTGAAGTACATTGTTTTTGTGGGTTTGTCGCAAACCGCTATCACCCGCGGACTCGGGTTCGTTATTCTGCAGGTCTCGTATTCTTCTTTCGACACCTGAAAGGAACACAGATAAATTATTTATGTTTTATGCTTTATAGAATCCTTTTTTTGTTCAGGCTTTGTATTTTTTTATTACCAATAAAATTATTGCGTTTTTTTTAAGTTAAAAAAATTTTTTTATTATCAATAAATATTCAAAGTTCAATTTATAAATTTTTTACTGAATATTTACAATAAAATTTTGTAAAAAAAAGCACTAATTAAACTATTAAAAAAATTTTTTTAAATATTAAAAAACAAATTAACAATTTTTACAAAAAAATTAAAGCAATCATTTTTTTTAATAAAAACTATTAAAAAAAAAAAAAAATTGAGGTCTAAAATGTAATTATCAAACTCTTGATACTTACATTGTAAATAATGTACTTCTCAGCTTCGTCATCATAAGTCCCGGGTCCGTAGACGGGACAAATAATATTGACCTGGTCATACTCGAACGCAGCATTATTTTTATTTACATCAATTATGTGGTCGGTGTTGTCGATACGAAATCTGTAAACAACGAAAAATAATTAAAATTAATTCAGCAAATATTTAATTAATATTTTTTTTAACAAATAAAAAACTGATATAGAAATTTTAAAAAATAAAAAATGCAATTTTTTTTAAATAAATTTTTTTATGAAATAAAATAAAAAAATGGTCACTTAAATATAATAAAAAATCCTCTTAATAAAAGACAAATTCCAGCTCCAAAAAAAAAAGGAGCACCCTCAAAATTTAAAAGCCATAAATCCTTAATGATATCCAATAAATTAGCGCTATAAGCCCAGATCTATTGATACAGATTAAATGTGTAGAATAATAACAATAATAAGAGGAATAACAACAACAATAATAAAAAAAGGTAATCGAAATAAGAAGGAAAGCTGCGAAAGAAGGCGTCGATGGAAGAGGCTATCCGGCGGATAGAGGACAAGTCCAAGCACGCAACCGGTTATTCTTTGCCCCTCCTGCTGTTCGCCGATCTGCCTCAGCAGTTTCAAACCTTCCCCAGGTAGAAGAGCTTCATATATATATATATACATATATACTTATTCTTATTCTTATATATATCCTCGATCGCATCGTATCGCATATATTATGCCGCGACCGGGTATTCCGCACCCGCACCCGCACTAGCCTCCACACATGCATGCCCGACTCGCATTATATCGCGGGAAAAATAACTAGTGCGAGTGCGGTGTAACTACTTAAAGCGCCCTCAAACTCAAGGTTCGCCAACTAATATATAGTATTCCAAGGAGGATGTAATATATATGTTCCTCTGATTCAGATATGCATGTAATGCATACAACCATACAACTGCTTATGTACCGCCGCGGCGTCAATATATATTTACACCAAGCAATACCTCTAAAGATTGTCGCGCATGTACCACCTTCTCTTCCTCTTGCTCTTATCCATCTTCCGAAAATCCATCTCTTGTTCTATATGTACTACTATATCCTATCCTGCAAAATGACTTTACGCTGATAGAATAGAACAAGCGGATTTATTTGGAGTAATAAACAAGATTTTACGTAAAGCTAATTATTGATAGCTAATTATACAGTGGTTTTTTATTTTTTTATTCTTATCAAATTTTTATTTGTTCAAGTATAAGCCAATTGTGATCATATGTGATTCAATTAATTAATTCCACGTGATAAAATGTATATTTATTTAATCAAGCTGCACATTTATGATCACATAGGTCATATATCTGACCATATATGATAAAATTTATTATTTCCATATGATTAGATCTATTCATAATCAACCAGATATCAAACATATATAAGAGCCATATATGACCCTATTAAATAAATATATACCTTGAGGTATGTCTAAATATGATCATATATGAATACTTGTGGTCATATATATTCATATATGCTTTGTCTATAACTATATATGTTCATATATGCTTTATATATGACTATATATGATAAATAATCATATATGATTCAATTAATTAATTACATGTGATAAGATGTGTATTTATTTAATCAGATTGCACATATATGATTATATATGGCTATATATATATGATTGAATTTATTATTTTTATATGATCAGAATTAATAATAATCAACTAGATAATAAATATGAGGCATATATGACCCTATTAAATAAACATATACCTTGAGATATGTTTAAATATGATCATATATGGATACTTGTGGTCATATATGTTCATATATGATTTATATATGACTAATGATCATATATGATTCAATTAATTAATTACACGTGATAAGATGTATATTTTTTTTTAATTAGATTGCACATATATGATTACATAGGTTATATCTGGCCATATACGATTAAATTTATTATTTGTATATGATTAATAATATTCAACTAGATAATAAATGAGAGCCATATATGATCATATATGACAAATATATTAATGTGTTTGTATTTTCTCAGAGAAAATTTTTATTTTTACGTTTAAATGCTTATTTATCATTAATTCATCACATATGATACATATATGGCATATGTGATTATATATGATCTTATAAAAAAATATCTACATTGAAGTATTTCTACATATATCGACGGTCTAATTAGTAATTTGTCTCTCCATATTTTTTAGAGGGTGATTTTTTTAACATTTTGATGTAGCCATAATCGAATTATAAATTATTTGAATGATTCAAACCCAAATATTATATCTTTAATAGATAATAATGATATTAAATGGTTTTTTAAAGTGATAATGAATTTTGAACTAATTTTTTTTTGTACAAATAAAAGATTCTCTAAAATGGAGTTAGACAATTTACTAATTAGAACGTCGATATGTGAAGACTTCTGGTCATATATGTTTATATTGACGTACAAATTAGCAAATTAAAACGTCAAAAAAAACCATTTAATTATCTAATACAAGTATAATATTTTGGTTTAGATCATTCAAATAAATTATTATTGGACTATTGCTACATCAAAATGTTAAAAAATCACCTTCTACAAAATAAGGACTTAGACCAATTGCTAATTAGTTATATTATGTGGTTTATATATGATCATATATGATTACATAAAGACATATATATGATTTAAATAATTAATTACACATGATAAGATGTATATATTTATGTAATTAAGTTACATATATATGTGATCATATATTTAAAATTTTTTACAATTAATTTTGTTTTATTTTAATTATTCTTCATTATGTGGGATATTTAGATGTACTTAAAAGTTGAGCGACTGAAAAATAAACGGCTGGTAGCCGGATTGAGCCGGTGGTTCACGCCAGGAACAAAGAAGTCCGGATTTAGTATCCAGCATACACCTTTAGATTGACGACATACAAATCCTCGGCATTACTCTCTACACATATGTACTGGTATGGACGAAAAACCAGTAAATAAATAAAGTAAACCCGAGCGCGATAAAGAAAAAAAAGTTAAAAAAAAAAGGTTTGTTGCTTAGAGATTGTACACTCGCGCGAGTCGAAAGCCAACCGATACAGCTTAAGCCCGAAAACGGATATTATCGCCAAACGTTAATTTGCTCCAGGCCGTCCTACCATCCAATTTTCGAGTTCTTACACGCCCACTTACGAGATCGTCCGTTAATACTCCGAAATGTCGAAACGCGTTTCTCGCTTGCGATCTACGTCCTTTTTCTCAATTTCTCTTTCTCTTTCTCTTATTTATCTCCGAGACCCGTCTCTCCGCCGCTCCTTCTCTCTCTCTTACAGTACATCGTACATCGTACATCGTACATCGCCACATAACAGCGCACTAATACTGGGACACCGGCTAAACGAGTGTAGAAAATATAATATAAGATATCGCCTTAGAGGATAGACGGTAAAAAAGAGTCAACAAAATTATATTATGATAAAGAATAGAGTTACAGCAAGAATAAGAATAAGAACGAGAGATGGAAGAGTAAAGACCCGAGAATTTGTTGCCGTGCTCCCGCTGATGACTAGAAAACACGTGTATACATATATTACATACAACATACATTATATTTATTATATTTATATAAATATATATGTGTGCAATAAATAGTTATAGTGTGTACGGGTATAATGCTGATAGAAGAATTTATCGCATTAAATTATTCAATTTTCTGAATGAAAAATGTTTGCTGATGTTATTTTCAAAATTATTTTAATCTTACGTTGCTTTAATAAAAAATTCAATTTTATTGACTTGATAAATTAACAATTTAATGAAAAAAAATTTTAAAAAAAATTCTTAAGATTTTTCAGTGAATAATTTTTTATTTTTTTGATTCAATTCAATTCATTTCTTGAATTAAATCAAACTAGCAATCTTGCAGTTGCTATGTGACTGCAATGACTTGTGAAATATAAATAATTGAAATTTTGCTTTAATAAATAATGACTTTTGTGAAATTGAACCGTACTCTCTTAAATATTGATATTTTTAAAGATATATAAGCTCATCCTGATGTTACACTTATCAAGAGCTTTCATTTGAGTACACACATGCATTATTGATATATTTTTCATATATACATATATGTAATATATATAAATATATAAAATATATGAAAAATTGATGTTGGTACTCAAATGAAAGGTCTCGATGAGTGTAATATCGGGATGAGCTTATAACTTTAAAAATGTCAATAGTTCACAAGATACAAGGTCATTTCTTAATTATGTGTCTAAAGATAGAGTATTTTCTCAAATGCAGTATGAATGCTTGTTATAATAAATTGACTTAATAATTTTTTTCATTAAATAAAATTGATAAAAAGTTATAATGAAATTGAAATTTTTTCTTCCAATGTGTGAAAATAATTATCAATAAATAATTCATAAATAATTTTCACATTGCAAATAAAAAAAAAGAATTATCATGGTGCTTGAATGGATTTAAAAAAAATTTTTGCTGATTATTCCGTGGAATAAATGTATTTTTGTCCAGTAATGCCGTATTTGAATAACTAAATGGAGCTTTGTCATTTGAATTGGCGTTGGCACCTACTTTGATGGTAGATATACATACAAAGTCCCGGTAATTGGACTACCGATAGATATATGCTCCAATTTAGGTCCAGACGTCCTCTGATGAATTGTCCAAATTGAAATATCGAAAAAGTGGGCGTGCTCCGTGGAAATGCGCTACACGGTGGATTTTAAATTAAAAAAATAGATAAAAGAAGAAACGAGCTAGCGAGCGAGCCTCCAGCCTTTCGATTAGGAAATTTAAATCCTTGATTTAAAAAGGGGGCTAGTGGATTTGGATTTACCGTAACGTTAAGCGGCGATAAATTTATAAATTTAAAGAGATGACAAAAATTTGTGTAATTAACTAACAGAAGATGCATAATTTATCCATTACAGGCTATACTGTAAGGCCTGAGCGGGAAGAAATACGAATACGAATACGAAAACTTAAATCAAAAGGAGGATATAATATAATAACTTATATTGTATATTATAATGTGAAATAAAAAATAACACGAGTGATATGAAGGAAGATCTTGGATGGGAGTTGTGTGCTAGACTGAGCGTGGCGACGGGCAA